GTTGACAAACTCTCACTTTAGTGTGCAATTTTCTTTTTAATATCATATAATCATGCATTTAACTATTCTTGGGTATCATTATTTCTACGACCTTTTTGATTGAACGTGCATTCTCCTTTGCTGCAACGTCCATGACAAAAACCTAGCTGGGGCCCTTATATTGTTGAAATAGAGCTCGCCAGCCTCGCCCACACGCAGCTTTATGAACTGCGTCGTCCATAGGGCTCATAGGGAAATACTGCTGAGATACCAGCAGCAAGAATGAAGAGACTTGCGCAGATGTACAAAGGCGCTGATGTCTGAGTGTTTGCAAAAGTCGCCACAATAGCCGAGACAATACCCATGATGCGATTAAAGGCCACGGCAACACCGTTACCGGTGCCACGGTGGGCACTGGGCAGCACTTCCGGAGTGTAGGCATACAGAGTACCGTAGTAGATGTTCAGGAAACATGCGATCAGGCAGGTGAAGGCAGTATCTTGGGCTGCGGTTTTGACGGCGGTGTAGGCAAAGAAGAAAGCCATGGTAATCAAAGCACCAATAGACATGGTGTATTTGCGGCCAAGCAGCTTTGTGTTACACATGTATCCTGCAATAATCGGACCGGGAATACCGCAGATGTTGGTAAGGCAGTAGTTGCGCCACTGTTCGAACACGGTTCGCTCAAAGACTCTACCGTGGTTGGCAAGGTACGTACTGCGATACTGGTCAGCAAGAAGCCTCGTGGCACAAAAGACTTATGGGGGACATACGGAAGGAACACGTAGAAGAGCGGGTAAATAAGGCCGATCAAAGCCCACGAGAGCCAAACCAGGATGGTGGATATGGTCATCTTCTTGTTAATGAAGAGTCCACGGAAATGAATGCGGGTTTCCGAGAGAGAGAATAAGCTCTTGCTATGGGCCGATTGAATCTGTCCACAGGCCTCGAGCTTCTCAAGGGTCAGTGAGCATGGGCGGTTGTACTTGGTGGCCAAGAACTGGAACGTCTCCACCACCTTGGCATCCTCACCAAGACCGAGGAGGTACTTGGGGGTCTCACGGAGTCTAACAACGGTGATTCGGAGGACGGACATGACGAACACCAGAGCACCACCGGTGAAAAGCATATATCGCCAGCCCCAGTTGTTGGCCTTGGTGCAAGTCTCAACATCGACACAGTTCCATTTCTCAGGAACCATGAAACCCCAAGCAATGAATCCTGTGACAGCCTGTCCCAAACCCCACCATGCAGCAAGGAAAGTCAAGAGCCACTGCTTGTTGCTTGGGAGATACTCGAGGAAGACGGTTGTGTCCAGGATGAGATTGCCGCCTCCTCCAAAGCCGAGAAGGGCGATAAAGAATGCGAGAGCCGGCCAGTTGGGCATAGCACCGGCGATAATGCAGCTTGCAGAGCAGATGAAGAGGGTAATGTTAAAAGCCCACTTGCGACCAATGACATCGGCGCTGAAACCCCAAAAAACAGCACCCGTAAGCATACCAACGTACACGGCGATGGTGAGCGCATTGGCGTAGCCGTGCTGGCCGAATTCGCGGAAGGCTGACGGAGCAACAATGGATTGGAAAAGGAGGATCAAGGAATCGACAGCGTAGCTACGAGGCACCGCCAGTCAGTTAGCACACCCACCCATTTTTCGTCGAATAATACATGAGACCAGTGGAGGGGAAGATATGACGGCAGGGTAAATTATGAGGTCATGGCGCAGAGCCAACTTACCCGAATCCATTGAGGAAGAAGAGCTTCCAGTGGTAGCCTGTCCAGCCAATTTCATCAATTGCCTTTGGTCCAGTGTTAGTGCTGAAGCATTTCAGGGACGAGATTTGGAGCCTGGGAGTAGACAGGTGTTCCCGCCGTTCACTGTCAAAGGGACCGTGGCCTGGATCATAGTAAAGGCTCTAGCGTCACTCACGTTGTTCACAAGGTGCATCTTCATGTTCAGCGCGGGATCGAGATCTTGCAGGGAGAGGATATCTTCGCCGCTGCGCAGCGACGACCCGTCGGCGTTCCTGAGATCGCCAAACATCGGTTCGTTGTTACCACTCTCGACATTCTTTTCCATTGAGCTGGTGTCAATGGCTGACTTTTCCGGGTTTTCAATGGTAGCCATGGCTGCGGATAATCTAGGCGCAACTGAGGAAACCAGACTCGCAGAAGCACAGGGGAGCTTCGTTGTTTAGGCCAGGTATTTCAATTGAGCCAAGCTTCACAGAGGAGCCTGTTGTACTCCGTAGTACTCGAGGAATTGGATGCAGCGTCACACGCAAAGCCAATTGAGCTTGTTTTCGGCTTGCTCCGCCCGAAACAGACTTTGCTGGTGAGGAAAATGGAGGAGGCGAAGCTTTGTAGGTAATTGTCGATTCCGGTACCTGGGCGTGGTCTGGACCTCAAAAAGAGGGCTTATCAGGCCAGCGGAGGAAGACAAAGCAAAAAGGAAGCAACAAGAGGGGAAACAGCTGTGGTTACTAGAGAAACCACAACAGAAAAAAATTATGGGCTGTCCTGCCAAGTACAGTAGGACCAACCCGGTGACAATGGCGAGAATGGAGAGGAGAAATGGAAAAAAAGTGCGGGCGAGGATGTGTTAAATGGACAGCGAAACCACCACGCGACGTAACCATCAAAGGCACACGACCAAGACTAAGGGACCATGACATGCAAGGGCCCTATGTGGTAACAGACCACGCGAAGATCCCATCTCCAAGCTGGACTTTTGCATGTGTTGCTCATGCTTGTGATTGAGAGGCCATCTGGCGCTCTAGTGCGCAGTAGCCTTCCAAGAAGACGGCTCTATCGCCGTGTCGATCCAATCAGCGCTGCCGGCTCCGTGAGAGGCCCCGTCCGGTGGAGCTGCAGCCAGCCCGGGGCTCTGGAGCTTTGCAGGTTGGGGGTTTTTGCTTTTGCACGCAGCGGATTGAGTGAGACTCAGTGTGGGGGGCCCGTCCGGTAGCGTCTCGCTGGTGGTGCAGGAAAGCGTCTCCCCGTGCTCTCAACGAATGGCGCTGATAGGTGCGAGCGGCGTCGACATCGTGAGCGTTTAACGGGCTTGCTTGGACGGGCAAGGCGTGGTGGAGATGCTGGCTCGGCCAGACTCAGCAGCGAGAAGTGCTGAGCGTCGTTTCGGTGCAGTCGCGGGCATCGTGGCATCGCGGCCACGATTCGTTGGCTGCTTCAATCGACACATTTGAGGGTTGCGAGATATAATTGACGGGCGATAGGCCAGGTCTGGCTTGTTTGCGGAGAGTCACGGTCCAGGTCCAGGTCCAGATTCCCGATCCAGGGTTGTTGGTTTTTTCCTTTTCTCTTTTTTTCCCTCCTTCCGTCTTCTTCCCTGCTCTATCTCTTTCCACGTTTCCTGGTTCATTCGCAACGCATGCGGGAGGCGCTATCCATCGACTTTACAACGGCAACTGCCGCAAAGGGAACCATGTACAGCGCAAGTGCTAATGTACGAGTACATTACAGTACCCCGTACCCCGTACGCCTGGGAGGAAGTACTTCGGACTTGGTATAGACAACTTCTCCATACCTCCGGGGTCATCTGCTTGGGCATGACTTATTCATTCATCCTCCAGTTGCAAGCATGGGCTTGATTGGCTAGGCTGTAAACCGATAGCTGAGCGACAGTACGCCGACATGATTCGAGCACTTCATTTTACCCGAAGGAAAATGGATGCTGCAGTGCTAATGCGGAGAAGATTGTCAACATGACACACATAATGGCTGCACAGATGCGTGCGTCAATTACCGAATGCATGCATCATCACCTCAGCCTTTGCAAAAGGGCATGACGCCGGATTCTGACATCTCAGCCTGTTGGTCTAGCCTTTTCAAAGTGGCTTGCACTGAATTAATATGTCCATGTTACGGGAGGGGTGTCGTCATTCACATTCCCCTCTGTGGTTGTGCTTGTGCATGTGCTTGTATCTCTTCCCCATGTGGAGGAAGATACCATAGGTAGCCTGACCTCTTGGCATTTGAAGTGCTACTAATCCATGCCACGATAAGTGCTGTAATCACTAATATGGAGTACATGTATCTTGCACGCAGCTCTACCTTGTACGAGGTGCCCTGCAGTACACCGAAACTGACTCTCTTGGCCATTCCCAAAAAGAACTTTTTTTTTTTCCTTCTTCTTTTATCCGAAGCCTTGGAATGGATTTACAGTGCGGCTTGGACTAGAGAACGCCTCCGACTAGCTATTGTGAGGTAGCAGAGAAAATCTCCCGCCCCACCTGCAGCCAACATAGCCCAAACTCGCCCTCTCATTGGCTCAACTTCCGCCCTTTGAACCATGACGAGGGCTTGCCTGTTAAATCTTGGCGCTCGTCATCGGGGGCAAACCACAATAGCAGTTAGGCTCCCCTCATATTCTACGGAGTACTAGGTAGTTTGCAAGGCTTCAAAAATCGTATCAGTTATCTACTGCCTTACCATTTTCTCCCCAACAAATTTTTGCCCACAGTTATTGACCGGCTAGCGTCGGGCTCACCGCCTTTATTTCAATCTGGAGAAACGTTAGTGTGCTTTCTAGCACGCATTGTTATAATTATCATGTGATTCTGCCGTCGAATCAAAGGCGGAGAAGATAATTGAGGTAGTCTCGTGCATGAGATTTTACGACTTCATGTCTGTTTTCACGGCATCAATCCCGGGTAAGCTCATAATCATCGACTAGTTAGACCAGGGTCATTCTTTTTATACGAGCCTACTCGTATACGGAGTACGGAATCTTAGGTAGATTCCGTCATTGCCTCATTGAGTTCTTCTTGGTCTTCTTATCTTGTGACCTTTTCTTTTTTGACGATTTTTTTTTTTTTTTTAATCATGTTCTGATTCTGAATGTTTTGCGATACTACGTTTTTGTAGGATCGTATCTAAGATGGTGCCCTCGTTGGACGCTATCAGCCATCGGCTGACTAAGACGCATTGATTTGATGCACGGGTTTTTCAGGCATCAAGGTTACATCTAATCGTCATTTGCACCAACTGCCATCAAATAGCCTCATAACATTTCGATTGGGTAGTTCTAACCTGAGTCAATTGTCTATTTCGCAATGCTATCCCGGGTTTCATCATCTTTGTGTCAGAAATGTCTCCAAGCTTCGGCTCGTTTTGGCCCGCCGGGGGCACGTCGATATACTTCACCGGCAAACCACTTGACAGGCGATGAGTCAAAAGCAGACCAAGAAACCATATCTGGGTCAACTAGCGATGGAAATCCACAAGGGTCTGAGCCCGGGGCAATGACGCGGAGACTACAAGAGGCAACTGAGGAGGCATTATTCTCTGGCGGCTCAGCCGGCAGACGTGCTGTGCAGGATGCTGGATTCTCGGACGAGTTGAAAGAGAAGCTGCTGAGCAAGATTGCGGATGCAAACTTTCGACAAGAGTATTCCAGCGTATTTGCAGGCAAGGATCTCACATCTGCGGCTGGTGAAGGTACCAGGCACATTGCCACCTCGGCACCATGGACCGGAGAGGAATCTACCGCCGATGCAGTGTTGAGGATGCAGGATGACGCCAAGAAGCCCCTGAAACCAGAATTAAGAGGCAAGTTCCAGCCGCCTGTTGTTGATCCCCGAATCAAGCGGGCTCCGGTGGTGCCTCCTCGCCAGAGGGCGGTAAATGCTCGAGATAGAGCATCCCTCTACGCCGGCATGGGAATGAAGGAAGACAAAGGCTTGAGTGATAAAGAACGGGAAGAAATGAAAAAGGAGTTTCGGGCAAGATTTGAGCCAGTTGCACGAGTAATGCCGTCGACCCCATCGGGTCTTGCCGCACTGGCTAATGATCACATTGAAAATGCCATTGCCAGGGGCCAGTTCAAGAACATTACGCGTGGCAAAGGCGTAGAGATTGACCTTACCCGAAGCAATCCGTTTGTTGATACTACGGAGTATTTAATGAATAGGATCATTCAGCGTCAAGACATCGTGCCTCCTTGGATCGAGAAGCAGCAGGAGCTCTCAAAGGCTGCAGACTCCCTTCGTTCCAGGTTGAGGGCCGATTGGAAGCGTCACGCTTCGAGAATGATTGCTTCTAGGGGGGGTTCTCTGGAAGAGCAGATGGCCAGAGCCGATCAATATGCCATGGCAGAAAGGCTGCACAATCCTCGGCAATCAGCACGGAAAGCAGTCAGCACAACTGAACAAGAATCTGGAGAGACCAGCGAACCGGATATCGTCCCCGTCTCAAGGCCATTCCGCGACCCAGATTGGGAAAGAGCAGAGCATGCCTACTTGAAGCTGTCAATAGATCAACTCAACAGCATCACGAGAAGTTACAACCTCATGGCACCGGAGCTTGCCAAGAAGCCGTATTACAATTTGCAGCGAGAACTAGATGCCTGCTTCGCGGACGTCGCGCCTCTGATTTCCAAAGAGATCAAAGATAGGGCTACGCGACCCCGTGTTACGTCGAAACTTACATCCAAGCCCGCGGGAGACGGAATAATGAGTAGCTTTGTGACTAAAGATACTGTAAAGATTTATGACACGAGGGCAGAACCGTATGGGTTCAAGGAGTGGTGGAACGATGTATGGAAGAAGGAGTAGGGCTTAGATGGGATATCGTTTGAGAGGGGTTGATGCTCTCAATTGATGTTTGGTCTACTGTCGCGAGTTTAAGGTATTTGACTTGAACTTGAACATGCCTTGTTTATAGACGATACTCGGCTATAAATCTCAACTCTAACAAATGTTTGGCTTGTATTATTCTAGCTATCGTAAAAGCGCAGCACTAGCGAACACTAGCATAAAGAAAACACTCCAAACGACATCATGCTTTATGTTTAGAGTCTCATAGCTTTCACAAAGATGCACGCTTGATGATATCCCCATTTGAGGAAGATTTATCTATTCAACCTTGAAAACTGCCTTGCCCCCCTTCCTTTACTCTGCACATACGGGAAGGCTGTTTCACAGCACTTTTAAGCCCTCCCAATTTAGATAAATTTATTTTAGGATAACGGCAATGTGAATGTAGATTAAAGCAGCAATATGTCAAGTATCCTTGGAGTGCCCCTCAATGGCGAATGACCAAACCTTCAGCATTCTTTACGAATGCATATACTATGTGCTCCCCCAATTTTCTACCTAGCAGTTTTGCAATATCCCAATCTCGTAATGTCGAGGTTTTGCATGTTTCTGCACCGCGTTGGTTGGCTTGGCAGCATGCACAATGGCGTGGAACGGTGACACCTTGGGCAGAACTTGTGAAACATCTCCCTTCACAGCATTTTTAAGTCCTCCCGACCTTCATCTTCCCCCCATCTATTGGCTGTACTCGCACGTTGCATGGGTCATTTTATTACGCCATATGTATGAGGTCTTTGCGCTCCTTCCTCCATTGGTTGCTTTTGGGACCGGCACTCACTTCACCGGCATTTCACAGCAATTTTAAACCCTCCCAAGGGCTTCGGATTCTCTCCTCATAGAATCATGCGCCTCCTCACCGAACATGTTAACATATTTCGTTACAATATTATGCTATCATGCAATTTCCGCGTTAAATCAAACAGGAAGAAAGTGACAGCCAAGTAAACGCCCACCCACAATACTCTCCATGTATTTCTGCGTCACGAACATCAATATACAGAAAGTGCCCTCGTGTAGACTTCGATGCCGTTTCCTATGGCAAGTGAGATTTCAATTATTCAATACAAAACTTGTTTATGCTGCGTAACGTTTATGGCCTTTGTAATATATTGCTGGCGAAACTTAATCATGAAAACAAATAGGGAAAACAATTCACGAATCCCGCCGGCCTTCTGTCCTAATCCAATATTTTCGTACCAATTTGCAGGTACAATTTTATAATACACTCTCGCTCTGCCACCAACCTTGGTATTTTTATACGCCTTGATCCTTTTTTTTTTTTTGATAACTAAACCTCCCAGTCTCTATATCTTAAGAGATCGCTTATGCCCACGACTCCAGGTTCTGGACGACACATCCAGCCTGGCCCTCTTGTCTACGAACCAGCTTACCGATGGTGTAAACACGCTCGTCACCACTACGGAGAGCCGCTACAACAGCATCAACCTGGCTTGCCTCGACAGCCACCACCATGCCGATACCCGAGTTGAATGTTCGGCACATTTCGGTAGGAGCCACGTTGCCGGCCGTCTTGAGCCACTGGAAGACAGGGGGCATTTCCCAAGTACCGAAAGCAATCTCTGCCGACAGAGTATCGGGGAGCATACGGGGCACATTCTCGAGCAATCCACCTCCGGTGATGTGTGCGAGACCCTTAATGCTGCCGAGCACGGGCAGCAGGCTCTTGACGTAGATCTTTGTAGGGGTCAGGAGGGACTCTCCAACAGTCTTGGAGGTATCCCAAGGGGCAGTAGCGGAGTAATCCAAGCCAGCAGCCTGCACAATCCTTCGCACAAGAGAGAAGCCGTTGGAGTGAACGCCATTGGATCCAAGACCCAAGAGGATATCGCCCTCAGCCATGGCATCTTTTCGGGGGAGCATACCCCCGCTAGTAACGGCGCCCACGGCACAGCCAGCGGCGTCGTAGTCCTCGTCCTTGTACATGCCTGGCATTTCGGCAGTCTCGCCACCAACCAGAGCACAGCCAGCCTGGATACAGCCAGCAGCGACACCCTCCACAAAGTCAGCAGCGGAAGCAAGATCCAGCTTGCTGCAGCCGTAGTAGTCGAGGAACATCAGGGGAGTAGCTCCCTGGACAACCAAGTCGTTGACGTTCATGGCAACCAAGTCAATGCCCACAGTGTCGTGCTTCTTCATGGCTTGAGCAATCATCAGCTTGGTGCCGACACCGTCAATGGCACCGACCAAGATGGGCGCATTGGGGTATCCGCACTGAGAGAGATCGACCTCGCCGCCGAAGCCGCCAATCTCGGCACTGGCACCGGCTCTCTTTGTGCTGGCAACAGCCTTCTTAATCTTCTCCACGAAGTCGTTACCGGCTTGGATGTCAACACCAGCCTGAGCGTAGGTCATGGAGGCCTTGCTTGCATCTCTGAAAGCACGGTGAGCAATGTCCTTGCGGAAGAACTTGCCCTCGAAATCAATGACGTTAGCGGCCAAAGCGGCGTATGAAGCATCAACAGCAGCTCTGAGCGACTCGCCAACGGAGTTGATGGCGATCACGCGACCACCAGACGTCTTGAGCTGCTGTCCATCAAGCTTTGTGCCGGCGTGGAAAATTGTGCTTCCTGCAGGAGGTGCTTGAACGGTCATCGGGGTGCCCTTAGCATAAGAACCAGGGTAGCCGCCAGCAGCAAGGACAACTGTAGCACTGAACTTCTTCTCGATTGACAGATGGCAGTTGTCCAAGTAGCCACCCGTGCAGGCCAGCATGATCTCGGCCAAATCAGTATCGGCGGAGAGCAGAGGCAGCACTGTCTGAGTCTCGGGGTCGCCAAATCGCACATTGTACTCGAGAACCTTCGGACCGGCGGGGGTAATCATAAGACCCGTAAACAACACACCGCGGAAAGGCTGCTTCTCCTGTCGCATACCAGAGATGGTAGGCAACAAGATGTCTCTGTCGACTTGCTGAACGAGCTCGGCGGTAGCAATGTTTGTGGGGGCGTAGCAGCCCATGCCACCAGTGTTTGGTCCCTGGTCGCCATCGAATATCCGCTTGTGGTCCTGAGCCAGGGGCAGAGATCGGATAGAGTAGCCATCGCAGAAGGTGAGGACACTGAGTTCGTCGCCCTGCAGAAATTCTTCAATGACAACCTCGTCTCCGGCGTCACCAAAAGCCTTGTCCACCATGATCTCCTTGAGCGCATCCTTGGCCTCCTGCTTGGTCTGAGGGATAATCACACCCTTTCCAGCAGCCAGACCCGTAGCCTTGATGACGACATCGTGGCTAATGGTATCAAGATATGCAACAGCCTTGTTATAATCGGAAAAGTTCTCGTAGGCGGCGGTGGGGATGTTGTATTTCTTCATAAAGTCCTTGGAGTAAGTCTTGCTGCCTTCCAGGCGAGCAGCCTCCTTGGAAGGGCCGAAGCAAGGAATACCGGCATTGCGAAAGAAACCCTCGACGCCGTCAACAAGGGGAGCCTCAGGTCCAGGGACGGCCAAGTTGACGCCATTGGACTGGGCGAATTGGACGAGGGCAGGGAAGTCCTCTGCAGAAACAGAAGAGACGTTGGTGACCTTGGGGCAAGTCGCAGTGCCACCATTGCCAGGGACCGCAAAGATAGCCTCAACTCGAGGAGACTGGCTCAGCTTCCAAGCCAAGGCATGCTCGCGGCCACCATTGCCGATGAGGAGGATTCGAAGGTCGGCCATTTTGGAAGTGACAAACTGAAGCGGAGTCTCCAAGATATCCAGATCCACGTCTCTCCTTTGCAAGTAAAGATGAGAACAAAGGTCTGTCCAGCACTTGGAGGGGCCAATGTCAGAGGTCACTCGAGAAAAAAACTTCGAGCTCGAATGTCTGCTTTTTTTCCCTCTAATTTCTTCCCTGCCTATTAAAAGCAGCCAATGGGGCTGTAGATCATGTTGAGCAGCTCAGTTTTTCTTCGACTTGGTTGGTGGGGTGGAGGCGGGGCACTGAGTGATTGACCCGATAGCGCTACGATAACGGATTATCGGCGCACACTGGTACCCATACGCGTGTCTCGCAGGGCCGCTCGGCAGTGTGACGGTACTGGTACATGATTGCTTGCTCCCTGCTAGCTTATCAGTAAGAGATTTTTTTTTTTTTCGCGGGGTCCTGCCAACTGCAAACTGCCCCTCTATGGCCGATCGGATGGAATCAGTCATTCTCAAGAGTCAAGGCTCCACAGCAAGCATCGAGCCAATTGAGTGATTGATCAAAGAAGCTGCTGCAACCTGAGCTTCATACCCGGGAGTGGCTATCTGGATTTGTGCGGTTCTCCCTCCACTTCTGATATCTCAAAATACAACCTCGCTCTACTCTGCATCTCCACTGATTCGCCATTCACACACAGTGATCAAGATGGCTTCAGACCCAAAACCAAGTGGTGTCATGCTGTGGGTTGGCTGATTTACGGGTATATTGAACAGCACTTGATCAACTTCCTCAGTGTCGTTGCAGCCCGTGCTGTATAAGAGATTGACTATGGCATGTCCTGATATACTTCAGCGAGCCTAGCCTATCCGATGGAGCCACTGGATGCTGTCATACGGATTCGCCTTTGTCAGTGACTTGGAGAGGCTCGGGGAGGTTATCAAGCGCGTCAACAGGACCTCTAGGGACCGTGACATGATTACCAAGGAGCTTGGCTTTGACTGCCTGATCTGGAACTCAATGGCCAGTGTGTCTGATCGTGATTTCGTCTCAGAGACACTTCAGTGGGGTGCTATATTTATGCAGCACATCTTCTGCTGGCCCAGGACCTGATCATCTACGGCTGAGTTCGGCTTCGCCCGTCTTTCGGATGCTTACTCTACCGGCAGCTCCCTGATGCCGCAAACATCGACAGTCTCAAGCTATTGCGAGACAAGAGTGGCCGTGCTTTTGGTCACATGGCTGGCTTGATACACAAAAGGCCCTCCCCAGCACCTACAAGAAGGATCTGCAAGAGGTCTCTGACAGCATTCATATTGCCAACGGCGTGCTTGCCACCCTGAAAGTGGATGGCGCGATGATGAAGGCTGCTTTAGACCCCTTTATGTTAGCCACAGGCGCTGCCGATTACCTGGTTCGCAAGGGGGTTCCTTTCCGAGAGACGCACCACATCTCTGGTCAATGTGTTGCCAAGTCGGAGGAGACTGGCATCCCTATGAATGAACTGTCGTTTGAGCAGCTCAAGGCCATCGACAGCCGCTTCGAAGAGGGCATTACCGAGACATTTGTCTATGAGACGAGCGTGGAGAGGAGGTCAGCCAAGGGCGATACCAGCAAGTCTTTGGTGCTGGAACAAATCTAGGTCATCACGGTAGCACTAAGCGGAACCCGGGTTTGAAAATGAAAAAAAAAAAAAAACCTGAATGAATGCGTGAAATAGGAAAAACTGTGATAAAAAATGTCGCGAGTTGGATCATCGGATGTGAGAGTGAAGCTGTGCCAAGTTCATGGCTGTTTGGCTACCTCTGAACGGCCTGATGATTCCCACCTTGCTATCAATAAGTGCAGAACAAAACTGGTGTTGTCATACTGAGCCAACTGCTGGTCATCTGCGGGTTGGAATGCATATCCCACAAGGCTGGCGACTGCATGCACGCCCCTCTCCAGCCGGCAACTCTCCTCCAGACCTACATGAGGCAGCTGACCCGAATCAGCAGCACGCGGCGACCACGGGAAGCTACTGCAAGGCATCCTTCAGCCTGAAGCGAAACCTGGCCAATGAGCCCATGAGACCCAGTTTTGCCGTTTTCTCACCACCCAAACCCTCGAGATTTGGCAGAGCTATTGATCTTCCGCTGTGCTGCGGGCGAGTTCAGCTACCCCACACCCCAGCCTTCTCATTGATGATGGCTCAGTTTGGTCATAAGAATGGCCATTTCAGAGGGGGCGGTGCCTTTGTCGAGTGCCGAATTCCAGAATCCATCACATCTTTTCTGCAACCCCCTGCGTCTCATCTCACTCCATTTTCGCATGCGACTTGCGTTTCCAAATCGGACGGAACCATCTTGAGTTGCTGACCACGGATTCTGCTCCTATTGGCCACCCCTCCCTTTTCCGCTTCATGGATCAGGCACGCAGTTTCATCGGGGATTCTATTTAAATGTTTGTTCAAGGTAGATTGCTGGGATACTTTTCGTGTCTTGGCTTTTCTTGTCTCTTGTCCTTCTTGTCATCCTCGAATCTTGTGCCGCCTTCTTTTTTCCCCACCATCTGACAACTCCCGCGCGCTGTGCACGAGGCCCTCGATTTGTGTACCTGCTGACACAGGCTGAGCTGTCTCAAACGTCTGAATATAGTAATACTTGCTCTTGGCTGCCGAGAGATTTCGAAAGCCTATTTCATCATCAGTCATCTCCCGTTTAATCGGTATTTGTAAATAGTATTGTTTTCCCACCTTGCTCAGACTTTCAACATGGACAACCAAGACTTGGACTTTATCCCTTCCGAGGTCGCCAACGAGATGCAGCTGCGAACCAGAAGACACCAGAATTTTGACAAGATCGAAAAGCAACTCATCAATCCCAAAACATCGACCCCGTACCAGTTCTCTGTCAGCAATGTCCTCAATGAGATAAGCACATGGAACCCCTTCGCCAAAGCCATCGTCAAGGGCGATGTCGTCTGGCTCTTCGACAACACCGCCTTCAAGGCCGCCGAGCATGAGCCGTGGCAGGCCGAATTCATCATGGCCGTGTTTGAGGCCGAGCCCAAGTGCACAGTCGCCGACATCGTCGCGGGCATTGCGAGTGCCGTCGGCCTGGCTGACGATGCTGAGGAGCGCAAAACTATTGAGGAGAGGCTGCTGCCGTTTTTGTGGGACATTCAGGCGGCGAGGACGACGACGGTATCGCAGGGGGATTTGGAGCTGAAGCTGGGTCCGAGTGGGTTTAATGGTATTTCGACAAATGTTCTGAAGTTGCTGCATGACAGCAAGGCGTCGTTTACAAGCAAGAAAACCACGTTGAATATCGAAGGAGTTGAGGGTGTCTTGAGCATGGAGACTCATTTTGCAGCTCCTGAAGGCTGGGGGATCATATCTGGTATGGCCTCGCCGCTCTAATCTCTGTCGACTCATGCGCAAAAACAAAAAACTAACTTGGAAATTGCTAGACATTGATGACACAATAAAAATCACAACAACCAGTGATCCCATCGGCATCCTCAAAGAAACATTCATCAACCCCCCATCTCCCGTCCCAGGAATGCCCGAGCTCTATGCAGGCATCAAGTCATTTCTCCCTCACAACACTCCGTGGTTCTACCTTTCTGCGTCTCCCTACAACTTGTATCCTTTCCTCAAGGGATTCCGGGACACGTACTACCCGCCGGGAACCTTTATCCTGCGTGATTCCAGCTGGAAGACTGTGTCCGGGCTTCTGTCTTCACTGACCATGGGCACGGAGGAGTACAAAGTAGACCGCATGAAGAAGATCAATTCGTGGCTGCCCAAGAGGAAGCTCATTGTTTTCGGAGATTCTACGCAGTCGGATCCCGAGGCATACGGCGAGATGTAAGAACAAAAGCCTGTACCCTCATACTTGAAGTAAGCTAACGCTGTCTGCTACCAAGTTACCGAAAGTTCCCCGGCTGGATCAGAATGATTTTCATCCGCAAGGATACCGACTCAGCTGCCTTTGGACTCGCGGAGAAGAATGAGCCGCAGAGATTCGAAAAGGCATTTACGGGTATCCCCAGAGACGCCTGGCACGTCTTTGAGAATCCCGACGAGTGTTTGGATCTGGTGAAGAATGCGGTCAAGAGAAATTCATAAAGTTGAAGTAGCTTTCTTTCTTACTTCTCCTTGTCTTTCCTTTTCACTTCTATTTTCCTTGCTCTTGAGTGGCGCTTGGAGTGAAATGTCTTTGGATATGCTTTTATGATTTCGGAGGATACTATTGTTATTCAAGGATGCCGCAAGATGTAGACATGCAAATACATGTTATTCGTTGTATTCAATTGAGTAGTCGACATATCCATTTACGCAATAACACCCAGTGACTGTTGCCTTTCTCCTCGTGCTTTTACCGTCATCGCTTATCCAGGTCTAACAGAGAATTTCCGGGTATGGTCAATCCAGGCACATATACAACCCATTATGTTCGTCTCCTCTGCGTAGCGACATTAAAAATACCTAAAAACGCCTTTCGCCCACCCATATGCTGTAATCATGCCCACCAAACTGTTATATCCTCGGGTTTTCCAGAGGCCGCTCCGCCGAAGCAGTCCCCAGCAACTACCCAAAAAGGTATGCAACTCTAGTCTTAGTCGCGAAATAATAAAGCCTCTATGAAGCGAATAAGTACTGCCGAATCTGATCAGAAGTCTGCTTCGCCAGCTCCTCCCTGGCGCGTTCTCCAAAAGTAAATTCATCATAGAATAAGTGGTCGTTTGGAACCTCGCACTCTTGGCTGGGTTGAGATGTGCTTACGCCAGTAACGGCTCGAGCATTTGAGATGCAAGGTGTCCAGACATCCAAAAATCGCATCACATCATTCGCAGGTCTGCTGCCTCGGCCTTTGCTATCTCTGAGGCCGGATCGCTGCATTTCTTCTTCCATCATGGCATCCAGGACACTCTTCGCCAGGGTTGTCTGAAAGCCCAATCGTCGTGGGTAAGGTGCGTAAATGAAATCATCATTGGCAGCTTCTCCGGTGTTATTTTTCTCCTGGGGCTGAAGTGATTCTGGGAGATATCGGAGCAAGGACGACATTGTTGGAATTGACGAGGCCGTGTCAATTCCCTCCTCTTCGATCCCCTCAGGCTTGGAGTCGCCCTTCCTTCTCCAAAACTCCATTTGTCTAGACACTTGATCGTTCCACCTTTGATTGAGGTGCGCAGCGTTACGCAGCTGGACGCCCCTCGAGTGCGGGTGAGAAGGAAGGGGGCGGTTCTGCCAGCCTGGAGCGAGAGTAATGTCAAAGAGTTGCGGGATAACGACGCGGAAGCTCTCCATTTTGCGCTCGTCGGGCTTGTTCGCGGGATCGGGGTGTGTGAGAGCCTTGATTTCTTCCTTGGTGAAATTCGACCAGAAATCAGAAAAGGCAGGAGACTTTGGGTTCAACGATTTCCGATAGAGCAATTCGACCTGAGTAAAGATATCGGCGACTGAAGCGTCGATGAGCCTCTCTCCTGTCTCCCGCGGTAGCGAGGCCATGTTCCAAGTCTCCCAGGTGCCAAATGTGAAAACCCATAGCGTCTCCCGAGGCGGTATCTTGGGAGACATGGTAAGAAACCTTTGGACCTGCGCCCCCAAATCGGGGGTCTTTGTTGGCACCGGGTACTGCTCTGGGATGTAGAAGTTGTCGAGTGCAGGCTTTTCCGTGATATTTGCCTGCTCATTAAACATTTCTAAGGCTCGTATCTCCGTGCCGTAGATGCTGTTGGAGGTTAGGCCTGGCTGCGACTCGATCGGAGGGACAAAGGAAAGAACCGAGTGGCATTTAAGCTGATAGAGTAGGACATTAGCATCGTTGGACGTATATATGTATGTACTACTAGGTAGTACGTGTAAGTATATGTATATCAGTTCTCTCCTTACCTGTTTGCAGAGGTGTTCTGGCCAAGATGTATATGTATGCTTGGCATCAGGCGCACTCCCCATCAAGTCCTGCGATCCAAAGACAACAATGCGGAGGTCACCGCCAGAAGTAGCCGATTCAGGCGCGGACCAGTTGAGGATGTGCTGATAACGGTCATCGAGCTGTAACGGAACGAAGTAGAAGAGCATGAGCAGAACAAAGGCAGTGGCGGTGATCTGCAAGATGGATCGCGGACCGCCCCGCCACATGCGATGCGAACAGACGACTAGAAATGCCTTTGCCCGGAGACTCCATTCTGACGACCCATCGCTTGGGAGCTGGTCTTTGGTGAAGACCGTCATGCTGCCACAAGCTCGCGTGGCGAAGGCTAGGGTTCAGGAAGCAGAATGTTCGAACGAGTAGTAAAGAACACGTCGGCTTTAGTGAAAAAACATGAGATGAGATTGATATACTCGTAATGAAAAGAGGCGCTGGTTCCAGGCCCGGGCGTGTATTAAAGCAGATTCGATGTATGGGGATGAGGCGGCGTGAGACCCAGGGGGGATCCGCATGGACCTGTCCAGAAGCGCTAAGCAGACCCCTAAAAGTGATCACCAGGGGCCGGAACGAAGAAGAGCTACAGGTATTGAGGATATATAAGCGGCGATGGATAGTGCGAGGGGAGGGAGAGTGGGAGCGTGTGTCAAGAGTGAGTGAGGATGAGGGTATCGTGTCGAGGGTGGTCAGGCAAACGGCTGAGACCAATGGTGCTATAATAACGGATAGATCGCCGACCCTTAGGCCAAGTACGGAGCACGCGCACGCGAGCAGAGGGCACAGTAAGAAGCATTAGGTACAGTAGGACCAGACGACGGCAGTTGATGCTAGCAGCGCCTAAATGATTATATCCTTGCCACTGAATCCTGACACAACGCCGCGCGAACCAGGTGGTACGTATGCCTGTACGTAAGTCGCCAATGATGCAACTGGAGTCCAGGTACCGGATACAGGTGGGCATCGACTCCTGATGGGGAGAACCAGCAGCAACGAAACTCTGCTGAAGGTATCTGTAACCACTCCTACGCGTATTAAATGCGGGATACAAGTACATAGATCTCATTCCTTGCATAGTTACATGTCCATTGATGCCCGAGTGCTATACCGGCTTTTTTTTTTTTTCTTTTTTTCTCTTTTCTTATTATACCCAGCAGCCGGAATGGCTGAAACGGAGCTTCGTTGCCGCATTGCCGTGGTGGGTTATTGGCGATGCCACAAAGCCGCTTTCGGTGGAGTGGAGACCCAGAAACTGCTCCAAGTACTGACTTGTGCGTTTTTGGTGCAGATGCTACTAGATGTAATCCAGCAGGTCGTCGAAATCGCCTGGTTAAAGAGAAAGCCCGGGCCGATGTCGATGTGGGAAGCTATTGTACTTACCATGTATTAGTCCCCAGAGGATGAAGCGAGCAGTGAAACACAGGCTGTTCGGCTGATAGAATCCGGAGTAACAAACAAGAGACAAATATGGACTTTGAGCCTTGGCCTACGTAAGAGGTTGTTTGAGAGAGTGAGAATGGACGGCGGGAAAATGAAATGAATGCTGTCGTCTTTAATGATGAGGCCGCCTAGTTGGCTTGGACACCCCATCTGGAAAAGGGGCACGCGACAGAACCTCCCATTTGGACAACCCCTTGGATTGCAGAGTACGCGTACTGTACTCCGTACTACAGTATTCATTTACAGGCCATCATCAGATGCTGCTACTACCTGGTAAGGCGTGGAGAAGCACTACATAGGCAAAAGGGTAATAAACAACTTAGCGGCGGTTGAAATAATTCTACTACGTACCTATGTATTACTACCTAGGTAGTATTTCGGGCTGTGGAGGACGGATACCGGCATCTATCGATAATGACCACAGGTTGTAGTCTACTGTAAGACTGCAGGACTGTAAGAGTGCATAGCGTGATTCTCGCAGCCCCTAAGCTCTCATACCCTCGACACCAGTTTCCGGCTAGGTACCCATCCAAACGAGTTGGGAAACAGCTGCAACTGGAAGAGGGGGGTGAAGCGCACACTAGAGAATGCCACCATCGTTAGCAGTCGATGGGCGTCGATCAAACAGCCGCGCCTTGAGCGATGTGGCTTTTCTGCCAAAGCGCTATCGAACCATGGCTCACCCCAGGACTAACAAAGCTGGCTATTATTTTCATGATGATGCTGTGGCTTTGAAAACGTCACTCTCCAGAGAATTATAGAGCAGAGAGCACTCTCTCATGGCTTCCAAGGCTTTGATACAACTAGAACTCACATAGCGCAAATCTATAATTATGACCTGTCATGGAGGACTGGGAGAAGAGAGGGAGACGCAGATAGACTTCCGCTTGCCTTACTGCTGACACATTTAAGCCGCCACAAAGCAGCCCATTTATACTCTGCAAGTCCCAGCGATGTGCTCAGATTTCTCCGAGACCCAGATTTCGTTCCAGCTTTCCCTTCGGCAGTGCCTGCCGGTGAGGCGGTGCCGGTCAGCTACACCAAAGTTGCTCCGGCCCCGAGCCTTCACTCCGTACCTACTTGGTAGATATGGAACATGCTGTGCTTGTAAAGAAAAACCCCGTCTCGCCCCCTTACATGCGCATCCAAGGGAGATTTATTTTCATTTCCTTTTCTCAATAGCGCCTCGTGTGTGTCTGGTAGTTTGAGGGAGGGTAATTAGCTGATGATCACATTCCAGTGAGTCAGAATGCCAAGCAAAGGCGTCGCAACGATGTCCTCAATAGCCACGAGTAGTAGAGGGTACAAGCTACGAGGGTGAGTCCTATCTGTAGTATCTTAGGTAAATACCTCCAGTGCTAAGAAAACCAAGCCCATCACTAAAAGCAATGATGAAGCGGAGCACAACTGTTCCTAGGGCTCGCCAGTAAGCGCAAGCCCTGTTGGAAGCCCGCAGCCTGGGCTGTCGACATTGGATCCAACAATAATCTAGGACTTGGTAGGGCTATCTCGGTCCTATTTGGGAGCCATTGTTTTTTTTTTTCTTCAGCAGGCGATGGATTGCCACGCATCGGCAATCCCCTCCCTTGCATGGCCTTGCAGCTCTCAATCAATGCGATTCAAATTCTTGTCAAAACACCAGCAACCGCTGCTGACATCATCTTCCATGAATTTCGGGTCCCCCGTAATTTCATGGCCACGGCGCACGTGGCGGGACTGGCATTTGCCAACTCGCAGCTGACGCGTTGACAGCTAAAGGGCTAAAGGATGCCTTTTTTTAGGATTAAATCAACCTTGAAGACTTTTGCTAGGACCTGCTGTATCTGTACCTTGCATCTGTCGACATCGCTGCGAGGGGGCTTTAATCCGGCGGTACTCAATACTTGGCATCCATGCCTCCATGCCTCCATACCTCCATTGTTATTAGCGGCTTCCCCTGCTTACCCGTTCTGCCTGGATTTTGTATTTATGGGACTGCCCGTCGATCGCGCCTAGAACGTCACACACACACAGACACCAGCTTCTTCGCCCTTCTGGACCACGGCTGTTTGCGCCGCAGCTTTGGTGGAGAGCATCCATCGAGCAGTTGATTCCGACCTGGTGCCAGGCAGCAGAGAGCCAAACCTCGGAGACGCACAGCTTCGGCCATCGTGACAGGCGCTCGCAGCTGCAGCTCCATCGCCATTTAACCGCCCGTCAGAGGCTGTCCTGGACCCCTCCTAGATCAACATCGAATCGACAATGAATCCGCGAGCTATGATCGCGCCCGCATTGCGATCCATCTTCCGCGTCTAGGCCTCGGACGTCTTGTGCAACATTCGACACTCCGTACGACATGCTCTCCCACCTGCGATTCCACCGGCGGGGGCCCTCAAATCCGACCTCGCCGGCTCCGGACCAATCCTCACCGTCGTCTCTCAATAGCCATCAGCAGTCTCCCTTGAACCCTGAATCGGCATCTCCTCTCGATGCGCAGCTGTCTTCTTCTGCTTCCACCTCCATGCCGCCTACCTTGCCGCCGATAACCCGCGTGACGTCAACCGAACTTAATTTAGAACCTCTTGGGGAGAAGCGGGATGTCGAGAAACAACCGCAGACTGCCAGCCGCCCTCCGCAGGCCCAGCGGCCGGCATACAGCACCGGCTCCGGGTTTATCGGCGGTGTTGCGCTGCGGAACTATCAGCGGAATGTGGAAGCGCAGCAAGTTGACGGCCATGCTCAAGTTTCCCACCCGACGCCCATGTCGAACAATGCCGATCTATCATCCAGGCCAGCGCCACAGGCATCCAGTAGTTCAAAGAGCAGTCTACCCTACTCCTCATCATCTAACCAGCGGCTCTCTGCTTCTCGACTGGCTGGCGAATCTCTGTCCTCGAGTACTGTATTGAATATTGAGCCTCAGAAGGGGAAGAAGGGGCTGCCGTTTCTCAAGAACCCCATGTCAACGTTACTGTTGAGAAGGAGGAACAACCAAAATCTACCGAATGCTTTGCCTCTTCCCCTAGACAGTCGTCTAGACGAGCCTACATATGACCCGCGTATCAAAGGCACTAGGGTTCATGACTTTAGTGCGCCGAGACGCCGGACAAATGCTCCTGCTACTGATACTGTCGCTATCCGCTCTGCATCCTTGGCCAATATCGCCCTGGAATCGGGCGTTGGTCCTCATGACGGGGCGGAGGCCCGAGGCCCAGTGGTGTTGGATGGGCAGCTGCAACGCCGCATGCTGAGCAGTGCGTCGGATCCTGCTCGCCCAGAATCCGGAAGCACAAATTCGCACACAATCGCTCAATCGTCCAGTGTATCTTCTGTTAGAACGGGATCCTCCACTGCTGAGCAAGCCTTTCCGCTGGACGACCATGTCGTTGCTGGACTAACCATGAAGAGCAATGACCCAGCTCTTCAAGCAACCCCCTCAATAGCTTCTCAGGCCACCACTCAAGAGATGGATAATCTAGCCAAGAATACTGGCTCTATACGAACTACCCGATCAAGAAACGTTTCCCTCTCATCCATACCGAGACACATGAAGAGCACCTCTTCGCGATTTAGCTTTGACATGGTTGGAGCCGCCAAGCAGGAGAAGATCCTAGAAGAAAGGCACCGACAGCGGGAGTTGGATAAGAAGGCTGCACAGGGCGAGCCAAGGGACTCCCGCTTTGACGACTTCGATGAAGATGCCTTTGATTATGACGCCATGATGGACGATGATGGATTGGAAGAAAAAATTCCTGGAATTAATGCCGATTATGAGGATGAGGAAGAACCGTATCTCGATGACCAATACTACGAACAGGAGGCCCAGTATATCGAGGATGAAATAGACCCAGATGACGACCAAGAAAACTTTGCCGGCTTCACGTTCCAGCGGTCTAATCCGACCTCGTCTCTAGCGACTCCACAGAGCGGAGGCATGATGCCAACCCCCAGAGACGCCGAAGGCGAGGTCATAGGCTGCGCTATGACAAAAGACACACCGGGGCTCTCGAATCTTTCCTTATCGCCTGAGTCGGGCTCAGTCCCAGATCAGGGGTCCGATACTGTGGTGTCTGGTCTGGGGATTCATGGGGTTGATGCTGTTTCGGCCTCTTTCCAAACATTGAATTTGGAGGCAGCCTCCGTCCCGGTCCCTATTGGTATGCCACCGCCACCGGGCACGCATCGCGGGATCAGTGATGACGACATCTATTTTGATGAAGGCATGGCTAGCTTCGGTGGTGTATTCGCCGAGGATCTTGCCGGATCGCCTGTGGATGACGGGGTGCCTTTTGACGAATCAATATTCGACAATGATGATACAGATCAATACGGTCGACCTCTGCCAGGAGCTTTTGCACTGGCAAAGTCGGCGCGGGAGAAAAATGGCCAAGAATGCCCGAAGGAAGAGATGGAGCAGCAAGAGTCTGAAATGACCTCGCAGCAACTTTCAGAGCAACTAGTAGTTGCTCAGTCGGCGATGCAGGCCACTGCGAGCCTCAGCACAGAGCACCCAAACGAGAATGATGTTGCTGAAGTTTCAAGTGACTTACCTCCGTTATCTGAGACCACTATTGTTGCTCCTCAGCCGACAGCCTACAACGCAAATCCTATTGCCGCCTATCAGGCGGCTCTGGCTGCAGCTGCCCAGAAAGCAGCGGAATCTGGCCATTTCGAACGTGCAGCAGCGCAGTCTCCCACCGACATAGATACTAATGGCCAAGTGTCTACGAACTTTGACGAGTCAGATGCGCTCCGTGACTACGAGTACGACGACTACGGCTATTCTTACGATGATATGGATGACTTTGAGATGGACGATGATGCCATCATCGCGGAGGCCAATGCTAGCGCTCTAGCTAACGATTCCGACGGGTGGTATGGGCAAGAGTTTGGCTTTTATGCCGCTCCAATCAATAATCATGGCTCGAATGCCAACCTTGAGGACAACGGATATGTCGCTGGTGGGTTTTTTGGCCCTAAAGGCGCAAGCAATATAAATCGCAGCATAAGCGGGCGTGTGGTCTCTCGAGAGCCGAACCTGACCCCCATCACCGAGCGATCTGAATATTCCAACAGAAATTCTCTCATGAGCCTCGGAATGCCACCTATCAGCGGCACTCCCATTCTTCAGAGCCCCGGACTGGCTCAGCTGGCTATGATGGCGGATCGAGGTGACGACCAGATGAATCTCACAGCACTCCTCCGGCTGCGGTCCAAAGCATGGGGAGGCTCGCAAGCTAGCTTGGCTTCCAGTAAAGATGGTTCCCCAAGGTCAGAAAGAGGGGACGCTCCAGGTTCACCAAGAGGACCTGGCTTTCCAGCCGGGTTTCCTCCCTCCACCGCCGGTCATACACGAAAGAATTCAGTCTTCTCCATTGTGAGTCGCGATTCGGATGGTAGTGTTCCTGCCAGCCCTACCCTTACAATGCCCACGTCAGCCCTTGCCCACAGCTCGTCAGTTGGGCCCGATTTCATGAATCGAGACGCAGACATGGCTTCAGCCTGGGGGGCGATCTCAACATCCCCGATCCAAATGGGACCGAATATCTTACAAGAAGGTATTTCCCCGCTCAGCGATCCCCATTATCCTTCTGCCTTCACAGTAGCCAATGCACAACAGCATGCTATGGGTAGCAGTCAAGACGCCTCAATCGCAGAGAAAGGCCATCAGCGGCAGAAGGGATCGACCGATAGTATATCTTATATGATGGAAGAAGAGAGCGGGGAGACGCGGTGGGTCATGGAACGCCGGCGAACAGGGGAATTTGGGCAAGTAGAGATTTTGGAACGGGAGGTAGTAGAGGGGGGACGTATATAGGAACATGTCGATTCGGCGGCCGGACTGAGCAAACATAAACTCGACTCGCATGACGATTACGGGAACGACATCGATGAAAACGATTGGTCACAGGGCCTAGATGGATGAGAACGGCGCGGCAAACTTGAATGGATAAAACTGTACGATACGAGGGATTTTGAAGCGATTCTACACGCGACGTCCTCCAAGAGGAATCTTCTCTGAGTACTTGGATGTATATAAAAGGGTATTTTTTTTTCGGGTCGGGTCCGTTTTGGATTGCGGAGGATAATGGTGTTTAGGGGTGTCTGCGGCGGCTTGTTCCTGCAAAAGGCCAAAGAACGTGATAGACATCTAGTGCTTTTGAACTGCTGCTCAGTAACTTTCTGGGGCGACTGCATGAGGCGCCCCTTTTCTCATAGGATACCCCCTCCTATTTGGCTACGGAGTGGTGAGGGTAGAATTTCGTAGCTTTGGAATACATGTTTTTTTTTTTTTTTGGCTTCTTCTAATTGGCGAGGATAAGTGATTATAGTAAAGCGATTCCTGGTACTTTATTTAATTCACGGCAGCGTGTTGATTTCGATAGCAGTTACGGAGTACAGAGAATATCTATGGATCGTTAATAGAGGGATTAAATGGTTGACACTAAAACCAGAGAAGGCATTGACACCTAGGCAGTCAGGATAGTAGATACTAGAGGAGTATATCGACAAAGGAGCCGTGTATTTGCTCAAGTAAAAGTAAATAAGGGACCTTTTCTCTGCGTCTTATTACGACACTTCGCCGGGATGCTGGGTAGTCAAATTAGGGTGCTGAGTAGCTTTCCCCTAAATAAATGACAGAGCTTCGCTGGAAAGTTGAAAATGCTGGCTCCTTATTACGAGAGAGTATCACAAAACCTAGCATCTAAAGCGGGCATTCACAAAGCCACTAACAAGCTGGAAGGGAAAGCTATCTATTACAGCAACATGTTACTAAGAAACGTGGATAAGATTTTGGTGAACTTGCACATGTACTCTTGTCAGTGTTCCGGTTCCCGGTCCCGGTCCGGCCGGGTTGAACATCTCCAGAGCGGCCCCAGAAAATATGTGGTAATAGTGTCTCGCGTATGGGCCGATCTAGGAAGCAAGATGCCTAAATATACAGACCGTTACTAGCATATAGGAGAGCGTAAGCTTTATTGAACCTCTCATGTTGATTATAAATTCCATCTCTATAAGAGAGTGTTTCCAAAAGATAAGGCCCAGTGGCTTTCGGACAAACGCAACGGCTGTAGTGGGAAAAGCCTACGGAGAATACATACAACTTGAAGTTAACGCCGTTACATGCATGTCACTGTCCTGTCTGCACATGTGTTCTCAACGCAGAAATGGAGGTCGAAATGCCAGGGGGGCTGTGCCGTGCCATGCAGTATAGATTGCGCCATATCTGGACCGACCCCGGGGGGACGATCGGCTCTCGGTGATTCGTCTGCTCTTCTGTGCGAATAAAATGATGCAAGGCGATACTTACCATGCAACAGAGAACCACATCGGGCAATTGGCAGTCATGTCTTACTGTGTAAGATATGTCATTGAGGTATTAGTAAATGCCGTAGCTAGTGAAGCCGCCGGTGACGCCGTCAAAACCGATTCCTCAGCGCTCTGGACCGGCAGTGGCAGAGCTGGACGCCACGGAATCTGGGGATGGCTTCTGGCTAATTGCACGAGTCTTGAGAGTATGAGTGATGGGCGCTATATACCAAAAGTGGGAACACGTTCCGTAATGGCTACAGATTGATGGCCTGTTTAGGTAGCCCGCAGCGAGAAGAGCCATATCGACGCGACAAGCACATGTAATTTCTGTAGCAACATGCCCCCTTGCCTGGCAACCTGGGCCGGAATGCCCACTCACACTTGACGTAGCACGCATTGTAAGCGCGAACATGGGATGGGAAGCGGCTCGGAGGCACATGAAAGAGAGAGAAACAAACCGCGGGGTTCCAAGGCATGGCCAGGGCTGACAGTTTCGCGATGTGTGGAGGTGGAGCAGCGTGGTTGGACGCATATGCATGCAGGACGACGGACTGGGAATGGCCAGTGAGACTGTAAGAGAGAAACGAAGTACAAGTATGAGGATATCTTGGCAGAGCTGAAGGAGAATATCTCGCCGAATAATTTTCTTCTTCTTCTTTTTGGAAATGGACTCGGGTTTGGACAAAAGAGTGGTTGTGGTCGAGTGAGTATGTCTTTTGACAACAGAATACTTGATTCTGGCGAGCCGATGGCGTTGGATCGACGATGTCGTGGATGGAGCTTGCAACTGGTGATTTCGCGGAAGCTAGTCGAGTCGACGATGCGTGAAGCCGCCCCTGCTCCGATTCTCTCCGTTAGACCCTCCCGCATGCCCGTATTTGAAGCGTTGAGCGAGTGGGGCATCAAGCATGTCGGTTTGGCGGCTTTTTCGAAAAGAGCTGAGATGTTGGCCCTTGTCCCTCTTCTCCGTACTCCGGGGTCATCATGTAATACATACAAGCATAAGCATCGAACTGGGCAATATTTCGGGCTTGCGCCTCCGGCCCCACGCAAAGCACCTTCGGCCGCTGTTCCCCGCAGATCAGGAGATGCGTGGCACGATGATTGCTCGGGGGCTTGCGAGCGCGATAAGACCAGAGCTTGGTGTGGGTGGTTCTTGTGGTGATGAGACGCCTGGTGGACTCTCCGAGATCCCGAATTCGGACAAAGGCTGCCCCCCCGGTTCTCGGCCCAGCGCTACAGCAGCTGCAGGCGCTGTGTTTTAGGTGGTTTTAGTTGGTCTTAGGTGCTTCGGGTGCCCAAAGGCGCGCTAAGTTGCCGTTCTGGCAGCCTAAACATGTGGTCCTTGGGCGGGACTTCCCAAACGAGCTGCGAGGTGGTAAATGGCATTACGCACCATTTTTAATTTTTTTTTGTGCTTTATCGCCCATCGCCCTCCGGACCTCCGGCGTGTTTTATTAATTCGCGAACCTCCACTCTTCGCGCCTCGATTTCGACATCCTTCTCCTCCATCCACTTGCTTTCTAATTGATCTTGCAGCTTCTTATATACCCAATAGCCCCCGCTGCTCCTGACTTGGGACTCAATTCACGTCCAAACCTCAGCCCTTCTCCAGTAGTCTAATCTAATATCACGACAACCCCGCCATCAACTTTCCAACCCTCTTCCACCAACCCCCTCTTTCAAATCAAACATGTTCGCCACCAGAGCTCTTCGACAGGCCGCTGTCCACGCGGAGCGGACGCCTCTGATCCGATTCCTTGGACCCAGAGTCACTCCTGGTAAGCACAATCGCTCTCATCCTCCCATCTGCCACACTGGTGATGAGGGACATTACGTGCTAACGTGGCATTTTTCCCCTCAGCTTCAATCGACCACACTCCTCAGCCTCACCCCGCATCTCCTTCAGGAAAGCTTCCCGAAGGTTTCACCGCATACTACGGCAGCGGCGATGCTGCTGCCCGACACAACTCTTTCGGCGCCTACCGTGACCACGCCCAGCAGCACGGCCCCCTCCAGAGGACCATCAGCGCTGAAGCCGGCATTGGTGGCTCCTCTGGCTACCAGCTCGGCTCTATCAACCCTCCCAAGGGTGTTGCCTTTGATGTCTCCGAGCTCCCTACCCGCTTCCACCGCCAGCCCATCGACCTGTCCGAGATCGAAGCTATCGAGTCTGGTGGCGCAGCTTTTGCTTAATGAATGACGGTGGAAGATGGTGGACGAGAAAGATGGAATCCCAAACTGGATGATGGGATTGAGAGGGGAAAAATAACCTTGTTTAACGGCGGTTTCTACAACAAAACGGCGTACCTCGGCACTGACACTCGATCAGAAGCGAGGTGTTGTGTACGATGATGATATTGTATAATTGGGGGGTGCTGTTGAGAAGGGCCAAGGAGAAGCCCATTACTGAATAGGTCGTCAAAGACTGGGCCGAGACGACGAACGATGCAGGCTGCTTCGCGCATAGGGACTAATCGGTCAGACAGATGTGGACTACACTTTTGTGGCTGGCTATTTTTCAGCTTATTGATTCGAGGAGGTCCTACAACTTGATGACGAAGGATACCCCGCCGAACAGAGACGATGCTAATCGTGCTGGGTCTCTTCGCGTCTTGCGGGACTTCTGGCCAAGGTTTTCGGCTATCTCTTATATCCCTCAACAACGCTGTTGTTGGCCGAGTTGCTGCAGTAGAGAGGTGGATTAGTGCCACAAGGCGCAAACATTTAGCATTACACAAAAACCCCTTTGAGAAAAGTTTAAAAAGTCGATACAAAAAAAAAATACCAAATATCATTTCAATCAATTACATCAGATATCCAAGTGCCTTTGAACTGTAGCTCACTGAATGAATGGCTGTCTACCTGTATCTGCGGCGTCTGTAGAAGCTAGGGACGACTAAAGTGAAACATGCCAGCGCTGCTTGGTGCCTAATTTTATTTAGTATATTAATGAGAAGCCATGCTCGCTAGCAGAATGGAATTCTTTGCTGCGTAGGGCGTGGAGTCTGCATGTATTCTATATCTCGGCTGAGCAATATGGTAATACAAAATGTCCTTGAAGTCCAATTAAAGAGCATGATTGGCTGGGGGGCTGTATATAAAGTATACAGTGAAATGCTCAACTTGAATACTGTATATCAGTACACTTCTCACGTGTGACCATACAGTGTGTAATTTCAACTCCCATTATCTATTATCGCTGCCCCACTAGCCAGGGTCGCGATAATGACATCCACGTCGTCTCTTTATCGCTGCTCATGACAGGAGCTCAAAGCTCCCCGTTTTGCCAACTTCGCATCCCATGGAGGCGTCACCACTGACACGCCAGCCTCAACCAGAGGTCTTCGTCCCCAAGATCATCGAGCTTTACTCAGCCCTTTTCAAGGTTTGCCCACAACTGCCTACATTTCCCTTGGTTGCGAGACTATCCAGCTAAATCAGCTACCAAGGTATTCACTTCCGGCTGTAGCTCTTCCCTCTCATTGGCATGCGCCCGAGCTGATCGACGACGACATATTAGGAGGAAGACGATGGCGACAAGTCGGAGGGCTTCTGGAGGGAGTTCTTCCTGTTGCGACCCGATCGCCCGACGCTGAGGAAGATCCTAAACGACATCCATCCGGCCGATTTACTGCTCTTGGAGGGGCGGACGAGAGAGCTCTTTGGCCAAGCTATCGCGGCAGTTAAGAATGGCAAAGGCTCGGCCCCTCTATATGCTCTTGATGTGCGCACTGCTACGGAAATGAATTGAGCCCCTGATTCTTGGGCATTTTTCATGGCTGACATCCTATCTAGACCTTGAGCGTCTTTCTCGCCTGTGTATTGACCAAGAAGCACTCGCACCCGAGCTCCGACATTATAACCATACTGGCCGGTCTGGATCACGTTGATACTGTGTTTACAGATTTCGTGAGCACGCTTGATGGAATCATACGCAATGGGACAAACTGTGTGTACACCTGTCAATATCTGCTAGATGCTGTACCAGTAAGCTGACGGATGGAACGATGGAAGTGGATCTGAGTCACAAGGCTATTGAGGTGCTACTAGCCGTCTCAGCCGGCGCATACCAGACGACGCTTCTCACGTACATGATACAGAGGGACCTCTTCCCCTCCATTATGAAGGTAAGCTGCAGCGGCAAGACCAAAAAGATGGGGGCCGACGGCTGGATGCTCACCAAGCATTGATTTCTGTGATAGTTTATTCAAAGTTCAGAGCAGCCTGAGCAAGGCTTGGAACCATTTACCCTGTTAGGGATACTCGCCAACTATAACAAGTTTGAGTTCCAAAATCCATATCAGCTACGCTTGAACGATTTCGTCAACGACGCCGTCATCCAGAAAGTCGTCCGCTGCATTGGAGATGCATGTCATACACTGCGATCGGATTACATCGACATTCAAGATGACCTTCCGGAAGGTTGGACGTTGAGTAGTACTCTGAGCATGTTTGGACTTGGGGCCATTACGCCCGGACCAAAGCCGGAGAAGAAGCCTGTTTATGACGCTGCAACAGCAAAGCAGCTGTTTACAAAATTGTAAGTGACTGCCAAGCTCCATTGAAGCAGTGTCGACGTATAATAGACTGACAGACTTTAGGCCTGGACAAAATGCCGCCATTTTGCTAGCAACATATGACTTTTCCCACGCGAATAAGCTGTTTTGCTTTCATCTCGTAACCCTGCCCGGCGAGAAGGGAAAAGAGCGTCCGATGGCCAACTATCTGTCACTCACATCCTATCTTCTGCAGCACTCTCACTTGTCGTCTCGAGCAACGTATTATGCACATCTTAATTTGATGGTGTTCCGTCTGCTGATCGAGGACCCGGCCATTTGCAAAAAGATTTGTAGCGACGAGTCCAAGACGTCGGTACGGCTCTGTCGACAACGGCAGCCGTTCTTGCCCCTTGTCAAGGGAGAGCGTGTCCTTGCCGCGTGCGTTCTCGATACTATGTTGGACGGCATCAATCACAACCTGAAGCGGCGGCTGGACGTCAGCCTCTACGTCCTCTGCTTGGGCATCATGCTACGGATCATCTCCTATCTTTCACGGTCTCGAACGAGGTTGGATTATCACTGGTCCGAGTTCTTCCGGTCATTGCTATCGCTCATCCGATTCCTCAACACGTATGCTTCGGATCTGAAAGATTTACAGCACATTGACACAATCCTCGACCATGTCGTGAATCTGGTGGCACTGTCGCTGTCTGCAGGCGAGGCCTTTTTGCCAACCCCGGCCGCATACGACGACCTCTTTTACAAAGTATTTGAGTCAGGCGAGGTGCTTGCATCCTTCAAGGAGAGCTACCGGCTAGGAAACCGCAACAGCAACTCCATTGACACGCTGATCAACGTCAGCGCTCACTATAAACAGATGCTCACCGAGAGGGGCAGCTCGGAGAAGAAGCTGCCGAGCAACCTGACGACGCACCAAGTCGCCGAGGTGATTAAGCAGGGCTACGAGACGCTCAGCATTCAGGCGAAGGAGGGACTGGACGGGTGGGAGAGATATCGGGAGGCGGACGAGAAGATTTTGCTCAAGAAGTTGGCGAGGACGGCGGTGGGGGATGTGATGGGTATGGTGGAGCGGCAAAATTACTAACGTATTTAATATACTGGGAGTATCTGATTTTCTTTGCTTCTTTTACTTCTTCTTCTTTTCTTTCTGCTGCTATTTTGCAATTTGTGTTATTGTTTTAATCGGAGCAGTGATTTTGGATTTATTTATTGTTTGATGGGATTGTTGACCAGCGTATGGAGATATGGTGAAAAGGAAAGTTTGTAAATAGAGCGAGCAGCTTATAAGATTCTATCAAGGTTGCATAACTACAACGGGATCAAAATCCCTTACGCGTATTGGCGCCATTTCCGGCTCTTCTCAGAAGTCATATCAAAAGCAACGAGGAATCTTATAAGTCCCCCCCCCTTCACCATCGGCGTCTTGTGGATAGCGTACAGCAATTTATAAATATCGTGAGTCATCCAAATCAAAAAGTTCGAGCCAAGCTTCTCTTTCATCTCCCATCTCCATCAGCTGATACCCACATCACGCCGCATATCGACGGGCGAAAAAAAGGGCATGTAAGCTCGCGCGCCCCCTTTTCTACGTTTTGACCACGGCTAGTATCCATTACTCAAACAAACAAACAAGTCAACCCCCCTTGTACAGACGAAAGAAGATACAAATCTCACCGTAACAACCAAATCAAAGCATTCGCATGTGCTCCCTTTCCCCCCCCGGCCCGATCCAGAATATTCCGATCCCGGCAAATCATCATCATCATCCCCGCATATAATCGCCTCGGAGCAAAACAACGTTATGATAACGTACAAAAACTAGGAACTATGCCGCGCCTTCTGTAAGCATGATCTCCGTATTTCGGTATCCGCAACTACCTAAGTTGTCGTTTTTGGGCGCCCGCTAAGCCCCATCCAGTTATTGTACTGTAGCCTCCCGATGGAGCTAGTTGGGCTCGGGAAGAAAAATAACGTGGATATTTGCTTTCGTGGTGGACTTCCTCTTCCGTTGGAGGGTCCTCTTTGATGGAATTTGTATCAAAGCCATAAAGATCATTCTGTTACATATCTTTTTTTAAAATTTTCTCCATTTATAAGAATAAAAGAGAAAAGTTTTTTTTTGCATCTTTTTCCTTCTCAACTACCGTACACATCTACATCCCCAACTGTCCTCCGCATCTCATCTCTCTTTCGCCTCGCATCTCTCAGCCGGCGCTTAACATCTCGGCTCGATTTCCAGTCCTCTCCACCACCGGGGCCCCAGTCATGGTCCGCCACAGGGCGCAGTCCGGGAGCCGGGCCATGTCAAAAAAAAAATATTATAAACCCAAACAAGCAAAAAAGCTGAAGCACAGCTCCCAGGGCGCGCGGATGACAAGCAAACGACATGTGCGATCCAGTCTTTTTTTTCTTCTCCGCTTTCTTCTTCCCCCCAGCACCATGTTCCGATAAAAACATGGGAGGTGCCCACACACCGCTGGTGTCGTCACCTTTTGACGAGCTGAGTGATTGCTCTGTGATTTCTCTGGGACGGGTGCAGCTTTCTTTCTTCTTGCAACCTCCTTTTGGTTTTTATTTTCCCCTCTTTTTTATTTTCTCGTTTATTTTATTTAATAATTTTTTTTGTTCATTATTCTTTTCGTCTGCGAGATCGAAACAGGAGGGGGGAAAGAACCATGCATAGGTCAGATCCGATTTTTGCGCGACGCCCTTTCTGGCAACTCGACGACGATATAGGGAACTTGCCATACCTTAGTATCGGCAATTCGACTTCGATACAACAGCATTACCATGTCGGCGTCTCAAGCCCTCATACAACGCCTTCCGCATTCATGATATATTCTACGAACAACCGTCGAAACTTGCCTCGTCGAAACTTGCCTCGTTGAAACTCGCATCGTCCAAGTCACTGACAAATATCCAACAACTGCGTCTTTGTCCAACCTGGCAACTCTCTTCGACATATATATACTTCGGGCCTCACAACCAAACAAAGACGTCACGCATATTTGGAAGGCAATGCAGCATATTGTATGAACAGGTATTTATTCGTTCAATTCCCGTCCCCTTTGGAGCCTTACTTCATGCCCCCGTGGTATCTTGTATAATAGAAAGAGAAGCTAATGTTTACAGGAAAAATCGTGCCACGACATCAAGGGTATGGTCGTATGCGCAGCATTACATGATCATCATCTGGGCTCACTCAGTCGCCCACTCCAGCTCTACATGCCGCATGCTTCATACCGTCTAACGGAGAAACAACATGTATGCATTAATAAAAAAAAATCAAAGGAATAAAAAGAGACCACTCGCTAGCAGCGTTGTTGCTTAGAACACGAGGTTGAGAACACGTCTCCAAGCAGGCAGAGCAGCGACCGCCTCACGCTCGCGGCGGATCTGGTCCCAGTCGAACTCACGGAGGCCGGTGTCGACATCAATGTTCTTGGTTCGCAGGAAAGGCTCACGCTTCCAGAGATAGCCGACGATCCAGAAGCCCAGGACGACGGGAGCGGCGAGGAACTGCTTGAAGAAGCCCTCCGCAGTACCCATGCCAGGCTGACCGGGGCCAGCAATAATGGCAGTGTAGAACTGGAAGCAAACAAGTCAGCAAAACGATTCTGGGAGAAGGGGGAATAAAGTTGGATGGGGATCATTCTTACCTGGGCCATGAGGACAATGACGCAGAGGAAAAGGCCGAGCCAAGAGCCATAGACACCACCGACGGCCTTGAAGGGGATCTCATCCAGGCTGTGTCCGTGGTACTTCCAGGCGGCGCGGAATCGAATGTGAGCCACGCAGACGGAGCCCCAAGTGAAGAGAGCGGCCAGACCGGAGATGGCGAGAAGCCAGTCAAAGACAACGGGACCGGTGGCGTCCAAGCTGACGTAGGCGATGAAGCCGAAGAGGATCAGCGCAATGACGGAAGGCAGAGGACGGCCGGACTTGTCAATGTAGGTGAAGAGCTTGGGAGCATAGCCCTGCTGAGCAAGAGCAGTCAAGGTTCGGGATCCACCATAGACACCAGACACACCGATGGACAGGACGGAAACGAGAATGACGAGGTTCATGAAGTGGTCGAAGCCCTTGAGACCAGCATACTTGCCGACAAGCACAAAGGGAGAGGCCTTGGAGTCGGAGTAAGCGGCAGAGGAGAGCAGAGAAGGATCATCGCTGTCGATCAGGACGCCGACAAAGAAGAGACCAAGGATGTAAAAGACGGTGATACGCCAGAAGACCTGCTTGATAGCACCGGGCATGTTCTTGGTGGGGTTGTCAGACTCAGCAGCGGCGAGACCAACCAACTCAGTACCAGAGAAGGAGAAGGCGGCAGTGACGAAGACGGAGCAGAAACCCTTGAAACCGTTCTTGAACGCGCCAGGGTTGTACCAGTAACGGGCACCCCAGTACTCGTTGTAACGACCATCGCTGGGGCCACCACCGCAGACAAGGACAAGAGCAATGATCATGAAGATGACAGTTGCCGCAAGCTTGAAGCAGGATGCCCAGAACTCCTCTTCGGCGTAACCCAGAGCACCAAACAGGTTGATGATGATGATGGCGACGAGGAAGATGGTGATCCAAACAGCAGTCGAGATTTCGGAATTCCAATAAGTGATGGTAATACCACAGACAGTCAACTCGAGCGGAAGAACGGCAGCCCACTGAAGAACATAGTTCCAGCCCATGGCGAAACCCCAGGCAGGGTCGATGAAACGAGCCGAGTATGTGTAGAAAGAACCAGAGACGGGGTACAGGATGGAAAGTTCACCGAGAGCATAGACTATTGACCATGTTTGTCAGCGCTACAGAACCATCGAGACACGGACAGTTTCTCAAGGCAACAACTTACCGACGTTGAACATCATGATACCGATGATGAGGAAATCAATGAAGAGAGAACCAGGGCCCTATAATTTTCAATCGCGTCAGCAAAACTGAAATTGTCAAAAGTCGAGAGAGGAGCGAGTGAGAAGCAACTTACACCTCTGCTGAGGGCACCTCCAGAGCCGACGAAGAAACCAGCACCGATGGAACCACCAATGGCAATCATGTGCAGATGGCGAGCCTTCATGGGACGCTCAAGCTCCACCATGCCGGGGCCATAGTGCTTCTTCTTGAAGGAGTCGGCATTGAGACCGTTGCGGGTGAACCAGTTGGGGTCGCGCTCAAGACCCTCCTTGGGGATGACGACGGTGCTGGTCTGATAGTCGACAACATTGTCCCCCTTCTCAGGGGGAGTAACGACGCCGGTCTCCTTTGACATGATGGATGTGTCTCTCTGTGTCTGTGTCTGTGTCTAAGCGTGAGACGTTACACGTGAGGATGAAGAAAGAAAGAAGAGAGAAGAGAGGCAGATGCGAGGGGACAATCGGCCTAATAAATGAAGACGGTCGACCCTTTAGAAACAGGGATACCGATTGAGAGGGCGGTGTCGACTGGGAGGGCTGGCAAGGACAATTTATGCATGGAAGCATTCGCAGGAACCAAAAGGCCCCAAAGGACGTTGCACTGGAGGCTGTCTGGGGTGGAGGGGCGATTTTGGGAGGCTTGCCTTGGTGTGAGGCTAATGGAGTTCGAGACTTTTAGCTTCGCAGCTCTTTTTTTCGCGGGTACCGGGGGGTGTGAGGCGAGAGAAGTGGGAATTGGATCAGATGGGAGTGGGAGAAGTGGAAGAGTGGAAGAGGAGGGGGGGCGAAGGATGCGGAAGACGAGAGCCAAGTTTTGAACCGAGGCGGGAGAAGTACCTTGGCTTGCAAATCAGATGCAAATGATTTGAGTCTTTTTGGTTTTTGCCTCCTGGAGGGGGGAAGAAGGTGGTGGTGGTGGGAGGCACAGCGGCAGAGCACAGCACATGCAAGCCAAGAACAGAGGAAAACAAAAAGTCCTTGAGCGGTGTTGAGTCCCTGATTGATCAGGCGTCGATGGGATTGAGTTGTGTGTGCAGGTGAGGATTGGAGGCGGGAGGTACATGCTGTACGTGCAGGCTACGTACAGGTGCTGGCTCCAGCGCTCTCTCTCTCTCTTCTCTCTCAGCAGCAACATACCTAGTACCTCCATCTTCAGCTCCTTCACTCTCCGACCTAG